ATTAAGCAGGTAAAAATTTATATACGTCCACTTTAACATATAGCACGCATACAATTTATTATTCTATGATATAAAGTTTGAGTTATAGCGTAAAAACACATATCTGAGTAATTATTTGTATTGGGGCTATATGTTAAAGTGAACCCATTTTGATAATTTTAAGGAATAATTAAGATAATGATAAAGCTGAGATAGTTTTTTTATAAAATGGTTAAAATTTAATCAAATTTTTAAGTAGCGTTATCTCGAAAACTGGAGCCAGTCTGGTAAAAGTCTGAATTAAGAACGTCCCAATTAAGTGAGTTCAACTTTCAACATCTTAGCTCAAAATTTACAACTTGAACAGCGTAATGTGAACCCAGCTTATACTTTTGTTTACTATTTCATGTTTATTCCTAGTCTAACTTTTGAAGCACTTGATGAAAATGAATTGCACTTATGTTAGTCGATTTATTAAGAGATTACGAATTTTTGGTCCCGGGCCCGACTTTTCTCTCGACGGCCCTGTACAAATGTATATGTGCACCTAAACCCTTAAGTACATAGATTTTCTAATATGGCTTTCCCACGGCACACGGTGTGCTTTTTGAATACTTCATACGAATTAATCGTAGCTCTTCTGACAGATATACAACAAAATGGTTTGAAATCTAATGCAATTCCATTTCACGGAAAAATATTGGCATTGAGCCCCAATTACTACTTCACCTTAAAAAAATTGGTAAAACAAAATTTTTTATATCTTTTGTTATACTATTATTATTGATTTTGAATCAAAAAACACTCTAAAAACAAATACGTTGTAGCGATATTCAAGATCTTCAATTTAAGGCATGGTAGATATTTTTAGGACATCTGAAAGCCAGTTATAACAATTTTAAACAAAACTTCGTACAGCAGATTCGTACGAATTTTTACTCTGAAATTAGAAGAAAAATTTCCAAAAATGTTGAAGCTTAACTTCAGAATTGTCGTTGCAAAACACTAATCCCAGAGTGCAACCCTGTCGTTGTCGATGGTTTGATGAAGAATGGAAGAAGAAAAGGAAAATTGGCATGCACACATACATATAAAATCATGTTCCGCCATTTTTTGTTCTGATGCCTTAACTCGACCCAAACGCCTAGCCCAGTTGACGAAAAGGTATGCCTTCGCAAGCAATGGCGAGATGGACAGTCGAATATTTGCCGCAACTTCTTCGACGCTCTAAATGGCAAACCGAGGTAACACCGCTATAACCGAATCTACTAATATACCAGTGGGAGCGAGGTAGAATCACCGAAGTATTCATTGCTAAAGATGGCCAAGTTAGGAGCGCAGAAGTCAGTACCAGTTCCGGTAAGATACCTCGACCAGCCAGCAAGCTAGCCGTTCTGGAGTTTAGTGAATCTTCATGATAATTCACTGGTGAGTGGGATGTCGTAGCACAACACTAATCCCAGAGTGCTACCCTGTCGTTGTCGATGGTTTGACACAAACAAATACACGTTCACCGTTTTTTTTTTTGGATTATTTCCATTTTTGCCGAGAGAGCAGCCGGTGCAAAAGCACCAATTTGAAACAATGCGTCGTTTTGGCCGTATAATTAAAACCTTTAATATAATTGCGTGAAAGTTCTCATAGTTTTTCGGCGTCATCAACATAAGTTTTCGTCTGTATCGTCATCAACATAGTTTTGTCGTCTTAATTTTTGATAGTGGTGGAAAAGTAGGCACAATAGTGCCATTTTTGGGACTTTCATTCACAGAGGCGCTTTTGGCACAATTCATTTAATTTTGGCACAGGCATTAAATACAAAAATTTAAAATTAAAGGCCACTAAGTATATAACAAAAAATCACATACAACATTATAGATTAAAAAAGTACAAAAAGTTAAAATTAAAAGCAGTAAAAATTAAAATAAGGGCCATGAGAAATATTTACAAAGCGCTGAATTCTATTGTAAATACGCAGTACGAAAAGTAACCCTGTAGGGAAAACACGAACTAGTGAACCAAATTTCTAGTTCTTTTTCGCCAAAACCGAACCAGTCCCGCACCAGTCCAAAAGCAGTGAAATGTGGTACTTTCACTAAACTATTTTATTTCAAATTTTAAACGCAGGGAAGGTAATCATTATGAGAAAAATAATTTAAATCAGCATTTAATCATTATTTTATGAATTATTATTGAGTTTTATTCTTGCGCTCAAACAGAAATAATTATTATTTGATTTTTATTTTTGCGATTACATATAATGATTACTTTATGATTTTTATTTTTTCGCGCAGAGATTATCATTAAATTTGAGTTTTATTTTTCCACTTAAAAAAAAATGATAATTTATAAAATTGAAAAGGCCATACAGACGCAACCTACTGAAATTTCACCTGAAAAGTTTGGGTCTTATTCCTCTTATAAGGGTGCGGCTACCTCTCAAAAGGATACGTCGGAATCACGCTGGTATAGTTGCTTAATAATCATTATACTTAGTGATTCCATAAACAAAGGCCAAGATCCTGAAGGACAATTACAATAGGTAAAAAGAACATTTTTATTTGTAATTTAAAACAATTACAAAAATCAAAAGAGTAACTTGTGAATTATCTCATTTATTAAACTTAACGCTTGTAAAGTGTTAATTAGCCATTCAAGTAATGCAACTAGATCAGTTACAACAAAAAATGCAATATCATGGATTGCACGCAAATTGCTGTTACTATGAAGGCTAAAAACTGGTCTCTTTTTCTAAGTGGAATTGATATGATGATTTGCATTTAATTAAAAGGTTTGGAACTCCGATTTTTGTGGTTTTTGGTGTTAACTAACCATATTTTTATAAAAAATTAGGGAAAAATAAAGATATTTAAAAAATAGTTGCCGGTATTGTAAAAACTTCGCTGTACCTAAACTTTATTGACTGACTGTATATCTTATTTAAGTTAAGTACGACAAAAACTTTCGAAGTACTTCATATACATATAAGCTTAAAAAGAACTGAATTTACTTAAAAATCAATATGCTTAAATTTAGACAAGTAAGACAAAGTGAACTAATATTTTTACTTTTAAGCAGAACGCACTTTTGTTTTTTACTTACTACTTAAATTTTATACTACTACTACTACTAATGTGGTTTATAAATTTTAAATAAATGCGTTTAAACATTTGTGATGGTATTGTCTTCCTTCAACCGATCGTATTGAATATAAAAGGGAAATGTTTCGACAAGCCTGATTAGAAATATATATCTAAGGAGGTTGGGAACTACATATAAAAAATGGATGCAGGTCGAACTAGATCTCATCAGTCGAATTAGGAACTGGTTTGGAACTAAAGAAAAGGGGATGCAGAAAGAACTAGATCTCATTTGCCAAATTCGGAACTGGTTCGGAACTAGTCATGGTTCCAAACGCACTAGAACCGAACCAGTTCCGCCCTAGTTCGTTTTCCTACAGGGAAGTTTTCGCAACAACAAGCTTTTAATTCAGAATTTTTCAGAAAGATTCTAAGTTTGCAGTTTTATAGTCCATTAAATAAAAATGCAAGTTTCTGCAATATCCCGATGATTTTTGATATTTTTTTTTCCTGACGGTGTCATACATTTTCATCCATTAAAAAATTTTCGAACACACTTTATATGGAAAAAAATGCATGGAATTGAAAACTATAATTTTTGTGCAATGTTTGAAATTACGATTTTTGTACATATATTGTGTTTATTAAATTAGGAATTAGACTTTTACATAAAATCATTCGAAAAATAATCAATGAACAGAAAGGCGAAACTGGTCAAAATATCTCACTGCCATTATTTCGCATATAGGTGCATATGTACATATATGTGTGTAAAAATGTCATAATACCTATATTTCGGTGTATTTCCCCTCCGTAATTGGAATTCTGTGTAATTTTACTATGATTTACTGCAATAATTTAGCTAATTAATAATTATTATTACTTCAGTTTTTTTTTTTAAATATTATTTCTAAAAACATATTGTTCTTAAAACGCCTTAAAAAATTTTTTTTTGTGGCACTTTCATCTCGTTTTCGGCACTATTTTTGAAGACCATTTGGCACATTTTGAAATTTTGAAATTCCATCCCTGATCTTTATCATCCATCAACATAGTGTATCATCTTAATCTTTATCGTCCATCAACGGAGTCGCCGCCTGCATATTCATCATTAGTGCATCGGTTTGTCACCATCGTTAGCGCTATGTTTGTCAGTTAAATTGTCATCTTTGTAATATCAACACACGCAAGTTTAATTGGAATAAATAATTCATAATTTTATTGTATAACCAAACTAAAAATGGTCTTTGTCAATCGCAAGGATCGTTATAATTTGGCTATCAAAGGCCTAGATACTTCTACCTTGGCTCAAATTAAAGGTCTTGAGTTGCGCTTATTGTTCGGGTGATATAAAATTGTATGAAGGATGCATTGCTGACTGCAAATCATAAAAAATGCAATATATAACGCATTTTTCAAATTGAAGGGTTACCATTCGATTCTCCATTACCCTTCGAATTACATAATTCGCCATGCAAAAGATTGAGAGTGAATTACCTCATTTGTGAGTAATTCAGATCCAATTACCATGCGAATTACGAACAAATCGCTGCCGTGTCTAATTTTAATCGGAAATTTTTCGAAACCAGTTTACAAATAAAAACTGGCACTTTATCTGAGTACTAAAACTAAAGTTAATAAATGTGTACATAACCAATTTAAAACAGACAAACATTTTTAGCAGTAACTTACATATTTCACCAATTTTGTAGCAAAAAAAAAACAAAACGCAGGGACAGAGTACTGTCAAATAGAATTGGGAATGTGCCCGTGTGAATGAGGTAATTCGCGATCGTAATTGAAGGAGCGAACAAAGTAATTCACGGTGGCGTGGGAAGCTCACTGCGAAAAATAAAATCTCGCGTTACATGAAATAAATATATGTACATATAAGTATAAATGTATATGATGATTTTATGAAATTTCCCACTGGGAGAGCTCGGCGCTCCTATAACTAGGCAATGCATTTGGTTTTCGACTACGTATTCTTAACTAAAGTAGACACATGTCAAAGGCATAAGCTTAAGTCTTTCAGCGCTTAAATTGTGGAACTGGCAATTGCATTGTGTATATGTATAACTATGCAAATGTATGTACATATGTAAATATATATGTAATTATACTCATTTATAGTACAAGTAGTTATCAACTACTTAGATATATGTACGTATATGCAAAATGGTAATTTTGAATAGTATTTCGATGAAATCAATTAAACAGCGAGTCCAATGAACAAATAAGTCAGAAGATGTTCAGATGAGGCACAGGTTATGCTGCTGTCATTCAACCATACTCCTGAAATCCATTTTACTTTCCAAACACTCCGTTGAAAAAACGTTTAATAATATGCAGTTTGTTCTCGCGACTCAATAAGATGATTACTGCATTGATGACTCATGGTAATCCGCAGAGATTGGTATGGCAGTGACCTCCCCTCGCTCAGATTGGCAGTGACGTAAATGAGATATGTTTCACCTGGCGTCAGATTAAAAATTGTATGCGTTTCAAGAGTTGCACTGCAAAGAAAAAAAAACAAAATACATACATACACTTGTTTACTTAAGGTGCAATAAACTCAGTTATTCCTGACAGCCAGGCAATGGCAAACCTCCGAGTGTATTTCTGCCATGAAAAACAGTTTCGCATAAAAATACAATCGCCGTTCGGAGCCGGCGTAAAACTGTGGATCCCACCGCTTTGTGTGACATNTGTGTAAGCGCCAATCTATTATTATTATTATTACGCCGATTCAAATAAATAAAAATTAATGCTTCTTACTCGGCGGTCGAAGATTCGTTATTCATTTTACTGTTAGGAGATACTGGTGCTTTTTTTAATATTCGTAAAAAATATAACAAATTCAGCCCAAATTAAATGTCTAAAGATCGATTCCTGGCCTCAGAAACATGGTCGTTTTTGCAGTCAATGGCAATTACCGTATGAAATTCTGGCATGATTGAAAGTGCTGCCACTTATTTTTTTGAAAAACATATGCTCTATCGCTTATGATTGTCATTGTACCATGATTTTGTTTCCATATTTGTAAAGCTCCTTACGAAAATTCTCTAAATTTAACTTCCATTTTTATTTCAGATTTACAGTTTTGGTGTCTTCAAACTAAAACAAAAAGCACCAAAAAACGCACCAAGCACCAAACTCAAAAATTTTCGCGTTTTGAATTAAGAAAAGCACTAAACGGGACTGAAAGTTAGCTGCTCCCCAAAGGAGCAAGTATGGAGCAGTACAAAAGCAAAGTAAAAAATAAATTTTTAAATTTCTAACAATGCTCAGAAATAAATATCATTTTGAGTAGTAACATAAATTTTTTTTTTGAAAAAAAGTGCATTTACCCACTAGAACTTGAAGGGAGATCTCCCAATGTGAGGAATAAAAGAGTTGGCCTGATTTCGGAGCAATAGGGGAGATTTGTTGGTTCTGACCTCCTTTATTACTCGCTTAGGAGTCAAATCGAAGATCTCCTAACTGAGCAAAAAAGAATCCTCCCAGAGCCATGATTTTGGAGCAATAAACGATTTTTGTCGATTTTGTACTCCTTTATTACTCATTTAGGAGCCAAACGGGAGATCTCCCAAGTGAGCAATAAAAGAATACTCCCTGAGGCATGATTACGGAGCGATAACTGAAATTTGTCGGTTTTGTACTCCGTTATTACTCGCTTAGGAGCAAAAAGCGATGTCTCCTAAGAGAGTAATCCAGGATTATTCCTTTTGATTGATAGGGGAGCTATAGGCACCTCGTTCAAAAGCAATTGCGTATTATTGGAAAAGTGTATCATAAGGAAAACTACAGAAAATATTTCATATAGAAACAATATAAGGAGGATGCAATAATTGAATGTCGATAGCACACAGTTAAATTAAGGTCCATCGGTATGTATTGCAACTTCTGTTTAAATTAATTAAATGTTGCATTTACGTATAACACCTGGTTTTAACGTTCATCATATAATGCCGGCCCAGAGCTTTTACTGGGGGACATAGCTATCAGATGGGCTAAGTAACCTTCACATTGATCGTGGTTAAAAAAAGAAAGTTTTATACACCCTCTTCCTGACTACCCAAGCATCCCTGACACCAGGAAATCATGTAGATATCTCAATATTTTATTATTATCTGTTTTACTTTGAATGCATTTGCCCGCATTAGTAATTCCAATATTAATCGAAAATGTAATAAGTATTACTTATGTATGTTTTGTCTGATATCGTACTTATAGGTATCTGTTAAGATCTTTTAATATTGTATACATGCATGAGATTAAAAAATTAAATAAATCGATTGCGTAAATAGCAAAATCTTTTAGCTTATATGTGAGGCAATGAAAAGCTCTCTTATTACTCGTAAAGGAGGCTTTCGGGATGCCTCTCATGGGAGCACTCCACTTATCGATCGTTCGGGAGGAATGTGGAATGTTTTTCTATGTGCACTCCCTTGTTGTCTTATAGGTATAGGGGAGGATTTTATGGCAGTACTCCCGTATTGCTCCCTTAGGAGGTTTTTGGGATGATATTTCTGTGTGTGCTCCCCGATCCCTTTTACCTCCTAAACGAGCAATCGCGGAGCACACACAAAAATATCATCCCACAAACCTCCCAGACGAGCAATACGGGAGTACTCCCATAAAAACCTCCCCTATACCTCCCAAAAAGACAACAAGGGAGTGCACATAGAAGAATATCCTATATACCTCCCGAACGAGCAATAAGTGAGTACTCCCATGGGAGGCATTCCGAAAGCCTCCTGTACGAGTAATAAAAGAACTAGAAGATTTTGCTATTTACGCAATCCATTTATTTAATTTTTGAAGTGAAACTTCTTTAGCGCCGGTTGGTTGGTTGGGAGTAAATTGGCAAATTCAGCGGAAATTGCACACGGAAATGGTTGGGGCTGAAACAAGTACTTCTTGTGTCTATGCAACGGAAATGATGCAACGGAAATGGTGCAACGGAAACGGTGCAACACAAATGGTTGGTGCTGAAACAAGTGCTTCTTGTGTGTATGCATATGGTGTTAATTTAACAAAAATTTGCTAATAAAAGGTTAAAGAATAACACTTAGAATAAGACCAATACAAGCATGAAAGTAAAGGTGACTACGTACATAAATAAAGAAAAGGATAAAGGCAAAGGTAAAAATAAAATTAAGAACGCCTGGCAACGTTCGTACTGTGCGGTCACTTAAACTTTCGCTTGAAAGAATTTCCAAAGTTTAACTCGTTTACAAAGTGCTAAGCAGTTCTAATTTGTGTTATTCACACCGTAAAAAGTTTACTGAAGCCAAATTCCAATAAATTGACTTGATTTAGTCATAAAGTGCGTTGATTGAAAAGTTTTATTTAGTCGGCCTTCGTGCATATTTGCCTGTTTTGGTGCATTATTGTTGCTTTTGCGTGAGAGTGTAAGGAATATCGCATTTGTTTGTTCATTTTGCTTTCTTTCGCGCTTTACACACACCTTTGTTTATCATCGACAGTCGCTTTCTTGGTGACAGCTGATTTTGTTAACTCAGTGGCTTTAAAACTGTTAAGTTCAGCACGGTTTCTAACCATTGAACTTCACTAAATAAGACCACTAGCTATTAAACTGCCAATTACTGTGAGCTTGAAACGTTTTCGTACAATACATTCCTAATTTCGCTATTTTTATTCTTTTTTAATAAAATTCGCTAAAAATGTCCTGTCTGTTCGAAAAATGTAATGTAAAAGCCGGTTCGGACCGTTTTGTGGCGTGCTGGCTTTGCGATGAACTGTCTCATTTAAAGTGTGCTGGTATTAATGGGAGAGTTCTGGATATGATTATTGGAGACAATGGACTTCGCTGGTCATGTCCAAAGTGTAAAAAAACTGTTGTGGATCTCTGTAAACTATTTAGAACCGCTAGAAATGGATTTTCGGAGATAAGCAAAGAGCTAAAACTGCTCAACGAGAAGTTCAAGAAGTATGAGGATGAATTCAAAGAATTTAAATTATTAGATACTTCCTCCTCCTCTCCTTCTCCTGGAAAAGGTCTTAAGAGACGTAGGAGAGGCGTGGAAAATATTGTGTTGAATCCCATCACTGTGGACCTGGATCTTCCGCAGAACCGCCCACTTTTGACTCCAGCTATGAACAAAGAACTCATAAGCTTTAACACGCCGATTCCTCGGCGGACTGAATCTCCCCAACCACGTCCTTCTTCTACTGGAGCCTCACTAAATTCCTGTTCAACAGCTTCATCTCAACCCTCCACCACATCTGAAGCCATCTCCGATTGCGTCAACACCGTTCCAATGCAAGTAGTCGTTGCTCCTTCCAAAAACTCCACAACTACATCTCAACCCCCTACCACATCCGAAGCCATCGTTGCTCCTTCCAAAAAGTTGACAGCTGTTCCGCAACCCCCTGTTCCGCAACCCCCTACCACATCTGAAACCGTTTCCGATTGCGTTAACCCCGTCCCGAGGGATTTAATCGTTGTCCCTTCCAAAAAATCGGTCTTTATATCTAGGTTTTCAAAAGATACCACTGTCGATGATGTGAAGGGGTATTTAACTTCCAGGCTGATAGCAAATGAGTTGCATGTACGCAAGTTCAGATTCTCGTATGAAAGAAGCATTTCTTCTTTTAAAATAGACATATCCGAAGACTGCTTTGATATAGTAATGAGCCCATCTTTTTGGCCAAGCGGTGCCTTCATTCGCGAATTTGAATTTAGATCTAGACCGCAAGGGCAAAATTTGGCTCAACTTCCGCTTTCCACCTCGGCATCAAAAAACTAATAAGTAACCTCACCATTAGCATTTACTACCAAAATGTGAGAGGTTTGAACACAAAGCTATCAAGGTTACACTTGCAGTCCTATGATTTTGACTTCAAAGTACTGGTGTTTACTGAAACCTGGCTCAAGCCGAATGTGTTCAACTCGGAAATTTTGTGTCCTAAGTATGAAGTGTTTCGAAACGACCGTTTAAATAAAAAAGGTGGAGGCGTCTTAATCGCTGTCCAGACTGACCTTTCTTCTGAAGAAATTGAGTTCACTGACACCGATGAAGTTGAATTCCTCTGCGTTCGAATAAGATATCATTCTATTAGCGTTTATCTTGTTGCTGCTTATATACCACCTAACTCGAGCCTTTCTGTTTATTTAAAACACTCCTCCTTACTGCTCTCTCTACATGCCATGGTGAAGCCCTCCGATACTGTTATTGTCCTGGGTGACTTCAATCTTGCGGGTGTTTCTTGGGATCTAATAGATGGTATTCTAGTACCAAATTCCTCTCGTGATCTCTTCAATCAATTTTTGAACGATCTGTCAGATCTTAGTCTTTACCAGATCAACTCTGTTAGTAATAACTTAGGTAAATGTCTGGATTTAGTTTTTGTGGACGATGTTTCCAACGTCACAATAGCCCCTAGCTATGCTTTGATTACCCCTGTTGATTCTCACCACCC